CTTTTCTAACCTGAATTGTTCTATGATTCTAATGCAACTTGCAACTCATGATCTCCTCTATGCTTCCTGATAATTGGGTATTACTGGCATATGTGAAGTCAGATATAATTTAGTGATTAATATACACATGATACCTACCTTGAAGTCCTAGCTTATTTCTGTATGAGTGCGAACTTAAAATGTACTCAAGCTAAAATACATGATCAGAGAATTGCAGAATGGTCAGCGTTGGGGGGAGACCTCTGGAGATGATCTAGTCTAACCCCCTGCCAGAGCACGATCACCTGGAGCAGGTTGTACAGGAGGACATTCAGGTGGGTTTTGAAAGTCTCTGGAGACGGAGACCCCACCACCTCTTCGGGCAGCCTGTGCCAGTGCTCTGCCACCCTCAAAGTAAAGAAGTTCCTCCTCATGTTTAGGTGGAACTTCCTACATTTCAGTTTTTGCCTCTTACCTCTTGTCCTGTCACTGGGCACCACTGAGAAAAGGCTGGCACCATCCTCTTGACATCCACTTTTTATTTATAAGCATTTTATAAGTATTTATAAGCATTGATAAGATCCCCCTTCAGTCTTCTCCAGACTAAAAAGACCCCTTTACCAATGACTTTGTTCAGTCTTACTTTACTTTTGAAATAAAGCTTGTTAAGTATAGATTTTTATTATGATTTATTTTCTGGTTGCTTCTTGTAATTTAAAAAGCTACCCAAAGGGAATTTTTGTATTTACTAGCTGTCAGACATTTCAAGGGAGATCTTAATGGCTTAAAAATTGAACTGGATATTATTTTGGAAGAGTTGGGGCAATGAGGATGTTTATTCTGGCAGATGTCAAACTGGTATGTGCGTGTAACATTCCGTCTTCTTTCTGAGTGGTGAAAAGATGTCAGGTAGTTTGATATGACTTTGAATTTTGCTGTTATGAACAGGCCTGTTACCATAGCAGAGTCCTTACTGGGTTTTTTTGAAGTGGTGACGTTATAAAGACACTATTTTTAAGAATGGTACTTATGAGAAAACAGTTGCCAGCCAAATTCCTTACATGTTGATTTGAAACTGTTTCCCTGTGGCATACGATGGCCGATCAATTAGAGTTTGGATGTGTTTGTCTAAATATACCCATCTTCATGTTGTGTTAACTGGAGCTGTGATTGTGGCTGTTGCAGAATGTTAGAGAAATAGTTAAGCATCCTTATAAAAAGTGGAGTTTGCACACAAGGGGATTAGTGCAGAGAACATATGATGCGAGATGCTGCCTTGTGCAGACGTGGACATAAAAGCACACGAGTATGTCCAGTGGTCCTGTGTGCAGCTGAGCTGTATTGCCTGACATTTGAGTTAAGGTATAGGATCCACAATGCTATAGGAAGAATGGGGGATTTAGCTTGTGATGAATTGTTCTTTGAGTATATCTTGCATTCAGTTAGAGAATCTGAAAAGGAAGGCGGGGCTGAGACAGGATATTGGAAAAGAGGAATCGAGTTTTTGATTACTCTCAGATACTGCATATGTATTTTCATACAGGTTAAATATAAGTGAGGCAGGATTTTTTTTGCCTCTCTACTGATGCTGTGCAAGTGCTACAGACTGAATTGACAAGAAATGGGTTTCTCCCATCTGTGTTTAGTGTCACAATTTTGATGTCTTCTCTGGTATAGGAAGTCTTAGTTTATGGATAACAAAAATGGTGAGCCCTAAAAATGTCATGATTTACATATATAGGCGTATATGTAGAGATGTGTCTTTGTTCCTAAGATTCTGATGGTCTCCATTCATTTTCCAGAGATTCAAGATCTATCAGTCTCCTTGACATTTTCTCGCTGTGTGCTGGCTACTAGCTTCTCTTTCTAAGGATTAGCAACTGGTCATTTTCAGAGCACAAAGCTACTGCTAAGCTACCATTTCTTGGCAATTTTTGCAAAAAAGGCTCATGGAATAGTCAGAAGGAATCTGAGAGTGTGTCCAGTCCAGCCTTGCACTGAAAGTGAGCTCAGCTGTGAGGTCAGGCCAGGTTGCTCTGGGCTTATTCTGGTTGGGTCTTGAAAACCTCCAAGGCCAGGAACTGGGCGACCTGTTGGTTCCACTGCTTGGCTGTCTTCGTGAGGAAGAAGTTTTTCCTTACATCCAGCCTCAACTGCTTGCTTCAGTTGCGAGTCTGTTTTTAAATTACTTTTTTCATATGATCCACTTCAAAAATCTGCTAAGTGCATACTGTCTTTCAGTAACAGGCTGGAAATCCACTGCAGTTTGATTTTCATTTCTCTTTGCAACTTCACAACTGACTTCTTGGCATAAATCTCAATGAGATGCATGCAGCTTCTGTCTCAGGACACAGCGATGTTAAAAGTCTGGCAAATAACTCTTTCAGCCCAACCCTGCAGTGAGAATGAATCAGTCATTGCTGCCTTAGAGAAGTGGGTGTTTACGCTAGAAACTTTAGCAAGTATTTACACTAATGCACTTACGATCTTTTAAACAGCCATTGTGAAACGGAATTTGGTTAGCAAGAAATGTTCAAAGAACAAGAATAATATCTGTGGAGTGGTCAGAACCTTGACAAATGAAGCTGGTCATACTGTGAAATGCTTCCCCCTGAATAATTCTAGGCTGTTGAAGGACACTTTACACAGATTGCAATGAAGTCAGGATTAAAGTTTGTTTCCTAGCTTCTTCAAAAGTAGATGGGTAATGATCTAATTTAGAACTTATACTATTTGTTGCATAAAATTTTTCATGATGCTAATGATGTTTCTTTGGTTTAGGTTTTGGTCAGGAAGCTAATGGCATGGTGTTTGTTGCATAAGTACTTATAGAAGTGGTTCATTTAAGCAAATCAAGAAATAATTTGCTAATTATCAAGCCCACAGTTCAGTTGCAGGAAACTATATATTGTTTGATGTCTGCAAAGCCTTCAGAACTGATGACTTTGGAGGGGAGTTTTGCTATCTCCACGGACACAAATCCACGCTGAGGGACTTTGGGAGTGTCAGCATGCTCCCAAGTGCTTTTTAAGCGCACCTCTTGGGTTTCTGAATCAGGAGGGCAGTCTGTGGCCTGCGTTCGGTTCAGGAAGCTTGTCTGCGTGTAAAATTGGTCACGTAATGAACTGTAAGCTGTGTGAAATTCCTTTTTATGCTGCTCTTTGAACAGGTCTTGTGCTGATATGTGTTCTTCAACTGCTGTTTTACTAGCGAGTTTGTAATTTAATCATTGAGTAAGATTTCTTTTGTAGCTTGGAACAAGGGTTATAGAAAATCAGATATAGCTTTTTATTTGTGTTGTGGCATTACCAAGAATAAAGGTACTTTCTGAGGTAAGAAATTTTGCTGCCTCTTAGATGCGAATAAAAGCTTCTGGATTTATACGGCTTGGAGCTATTACTGAAATAAGAGTAATCTGCGTGGATAACTTCTGTTGCTTCATCTGCAAAACTGAAAAAATTTTAAGCTACTTACCATTCTTGTCCTATCTTTCTTGCTGTCCCATCTTGCTATACTAGCACCCTTATTTTGGGGGGATTCTGAGCACCTCTTTCTTAAAAAAGTCAATGTAAATGTGATATTGAAACGTTACATACCATTTGTGTCAGCTTCCTTTGATTTAAATAAGGATGAAGGTATGCATGGCTCTCACTCTTATGAGCTTCATAGGCATTTCATTAGTGTTTGACTTGTCTGCATTCCTCTATGTGTTCTTGGAAGTTATGTTTCAAAATGATGCATGTAAAACAATTGTGTTGCTGTTTGTGTCTTATTTTTAGAAAGAACGATCCAATAAGTGTATTTTTTCTATATTAAAATTCTGTAAATACTTACACATAACTTACTTCTAGGTGCTTTATGTATGAAGTGTGTAATTTGTCAGCAAGTGTTTGGGACAAGCTAAATAGCCTTCAGAATGTAACTGAAACAAAATATTTTTATCAGGAAGTTTTTTTCTTAACATATGAGAAGCTCTGTAGACTTCTAAACATATCACAGAACTCTAGGAGTATCCGAGAGGCATGACTGGAAGAGGGACTGCAGGTGTAAAAGGGTCTTGTGTTTCACTGGAGGAGGGATTGTTGCAAGTAGTATTTGATTTGTCTTTCTTCTTAACATAATTTGCTTTTTTTCAGAATGCAGGGACATTCTACTTCCTGTGATTACAAAAGAGCTGAAGGAATTACTGGAACAGAAGGATGACCAGCAGCTCCAGGTCCAAGAGAAGAAGTACTGCATTGAATTGCTTAACAGTATTCTGGAGGTTCTGAGCTGTCAAGACCCTGTAAGTATTGATGATGATGTAGATGTCCCAAGTCTGTAGTAAGCCTGAGCTGATTAGATAGTAAATTATTGATGCTGATGAATCTTGTTTAAATTTTTAATAAAAGTCAGTGGCAAATTGAACTTTTCTCCTATTTATCATAAACTAAGGGGTTATTGAGGTATTAAAGGTGAAGTACTGAAATATATGCTAACTTTTTTTTATTTCTCAATGTTATATTCTTTAAATAATCAGCTGCTGTAAATCGCTGCAGTGTTATTAAAACCAGGGAGGCTGCTGTGTTTTTTCCTACCGCTTTTAGTTTTTGCTGGTGAAGTTCAATGGAATACGTACTGAAGTGAGTTAGTATATTATGATACCAAGCTGAGCAGTGCGGTTGACGCATGTGAGAGACGCGATGCTGCTCGGAGGGAACTAGACAAGTTCAAGAAATGGGCCCACGTAAACCTCATAAGGTTCAACAAGGCCAAGTGCAAGGTCCTGCACCTGGGTCAGGACAAGCCCCAGTACCAGTACGGGCTGAGGGATGATGTGATAACAAAGCCGCCCTGTGCACAGGGACTTGAGGGTGCTGGTGGGTGGGCATGAGCCAACAGTGTGCAACTTCTAAGCAACTTGGAGTTGAAGGTGTCCCTGCTCATTGCAGGGACTTGGACTAGATGAGCTTTAAAGGACCCTTCTGACCCAAACCATTTGATCAGTCTGCCATTATTCAAAGTATTCTGAAAAAAACCCCAACAGATTAATCCTGTTTGTTTTATAAAAGCCTTTGCAGTTTCTGAAGATTTTTCAGTTACAGGTGTTGTACCTTCTGCTTTCTGGTTTTGGCAATGTAAAACAGGTTACTCTTTCCTACACTTCACTTTGAGTCCGTAGTTTCTCACTCAGGCTCCTGGAGTTTTGGAACACAGTAGAAATTGTGATCTGGATGGATTCTTTTCTTGTTTGAGAGGATATTGATTTGACTTTTTAGCCCTTCACTTTTTAATGAGCAGTAGGTTATTCAATGGAATTTCACAATAATTTGAGGAACTTAGTTTTGAGAAAACCTCATGATAAATTACATTAGGAAAGTTGTAATTTCTCCTGTGAATAAGTGCTGATTTCTCCTGAGCTATGGTTTTCTGATACATGTGTTCAAACTTTGCAGACGTGTGATAAAGGCAAGTTGTCATTTAAGTCATTTTTCACTATGGATCCTTGGATCATTTTCTTGTAATGAAATTATTACAGCATATTGCTTGGTTTCAGATAAATCTTTTGAATCTGAAACTGAAGAGGCTTGTCTGTTTGCACAGGGTGATCTTTTTGTGTGTATTATGAACTGTTTTCCTCGTTGTTTTGGCTGTAGCTTAAGAGGTATTGGAACATTTGAATTTTAAATAGAATTCATAAGAGAAATGGTGAAAGCGTAGTAGGGCAAACAGTGAAGGTATAAGTTCATAGAGCTGCAGCATAAAGTATAAACCAGTTTCATTACTGTATACTTTAAAAGTTGTAGTGGAGTTGTGAAGCCAAATGGATTAATTCTTTCTGCATGTGTACCATATAAATTAGGTTTATTATCAAACTTTAACAATTGCTGCTCGTGGTAAGAGCAGCTGAAATGTCAAAGACTTGGCAGCACCCACTGAAAATATGGGTTTGTAGAGTGGGAACTACTTGCAGAACAACATGAAGAAGTCAAATTGTTGTTCCTTGGTACATCTATCTGTAGCCCCTTGCAGTCTGGAAGCTATTTTCTGGATTCAATCTCGTCCAGTTTCCAGAAGCAGGAACTGATATATCCAGAATGATGTAGAAACCTGATGGTTTTTTTTCTGAAGAAGAAACACTTGAAAATGTAGCATTTTTCTAAAGCCATCCTGTTTTATTTAGTTCTCAGATTACTGTTTCTAAAGAAAAACACACCTATTTCAACTTGTGTTTTATTCATATTTTAATTGTGACTGTTGGCACAAAACCAGTTACTGAGTAGAATTCTGGTTAGTAAATATTTTTGTTCATTTTTGGAAATGCTTGTAAATTTCCATCTTGGGGGGAAAAAAACCCTGTGTTTATGTTTTTACATTCCTCAATATTAGTAAAAATATAAAGCTTGAGGGATGGAAGATGACCTGTATCTGAACTGATACATCTCCTGTAGAAATGTCTATAGAAATAAAGTGTAAATGAAGTGCAACGATGATTGAAGAAAATAAAATGTCTGAAACGTTTGTTTCAATAAATTCCATGTTTGAGAGGTTTGTAACTGGTGGTTTTGGATGGTTCTGTGAATATGTTAATGTACATATGCCTCAATGACTTAAAGATAATTAGAAAATACTTTAGATTTCATTTGGGAACACTTTAGTTGAAATGAACGTGGTTAGTGTAATGCTTCTGAGAGCTTTTGAAAAGCTTTTAATTTTTTTCCTTCAGCTGTTCTCACTTGATACTAGGTAAATGCTTAGCTATATATTTAAAATCAAATGCATTTAATCATTAAGGAGTATGTTATCTTTAATAATAGTTTCTTTTTTTTTGTTGAGTTTTTTTTCATTGATCAGTATGATGTGTATGTTTAAACACGGCTGGAGACCAGAAGTTTGATGGGTGACTGTGCTCTTCACAGGCCTTGGACGTTCAGTCTTTTAACAATTCAGTTAAAATTATGTAAATTATATAGGAAGATGTTATTTAAAAGCAAGTAATGTATCCTGTGTTTTTACTCCCATTGAGAGAAGTAGGCAACATGTAACCTATTATGTCATGAAAATCACTGAGAATTTAAAACATGTGCATTTAAAAAAAACCCAACACATTCACATTTGTATAGAAGTGGCATTTCTTCAATACCTTGTTTCAAGGAAGGTAACCTGTAACCTGATTGTCTGTGAGGCGTTTGGGTTGCAGTTATCATTGGGTTGCATTTGCAGTAAGTACTGATGAATTTCTGATCTAAGGAGACAAGTCCCTTGGATGAAGTTTAAAACCAGTAGTGGGCCCAGTAACGCCCCCTCTGGGAGCATCATATTCGTAAGAAACAGTGTAGAATAGCTGAGACATTAAGAGAAGAACCAGATGCTTCTGTTGAGGAAAAAATACAAACCCTGGTGTGCCTTCTGGCAGTACAGCTGCTGGTCAGGGGCAATGCGGGTGTTAGAGTATATTAATGTATATTAATGTTAGAGTATATTAATGTATATTAATGCATCTGATGCATGCAATCTGACAGCCCTTCGTAAGATGACTTTGTCTCTGATCTGACATATATCCTGTAGTTTAATATTTGCTATATCAAAGCATGTTTTTATTTATGTGATTATTTTAATGTGATATGAAACTCTTCTGGAATCTAACAAAATCTTGATTGAGACTACAAGTGGAAGTCAGATGTGTGATCCTTTCCTGCCCTGTGTGCAGTCAGCAGTTGACAGCAGCTGTATTTTAAGCTGTAGATTATAATAACAAACAAGGCTGGAAATGTTTAGAGTTGTGCAGAAATTTGTGAAGTGTTTTCCTAACTTATGGCAGAACTTAAGACTTCAGCAAAAGAGAATTTCAATGGAATTTAGTCAGGTAACCTGCATGTTCTTTTAAGGCCAGTTACTTTAATTTCTTCTGCATACAGTTTTCAGTAAGAACAGTGCATGATTATGCGATGTGATTAAAAAAACTAATCTTTTTATGTGTACTGGTGTTTTTTGTGTGTGTATATGTCTGGAGAACCACCAAGTTACAGAACTGGGTGAATAAGTGGGCAAGCATACTCCACTGGATTGGTGTAGAGTTCCCTTCCTTTGGGGCAGCCCATATGGTGCTGTGTTTTAGATTTGTGACCAAAACACTGTTCGTAACAGACCAGTGAAAGTTTCAATTACTGCTGAACAGTGCTTGGCCAGTGCCAAGGCCTTCTCTGTTTCTCACTCTGCCCCGCACTGGGGAGTAGGCTGGAGTTGGGCAAGAGTTTGGGAGGGGACACAGAGAGTTTGGGAGGGGACACAGCTGGGACAGCTGAAACAAGTTGACCGAAGAGGTATCTCTAAGGGATATCTCAAGTACAGTTTGTGTAATATTACAGTTCGAAAGGAGCCATTCAGTTAGTTTGTGTTTGCCACTGTCCAAATAAATGGACGCTCAATCATATCCCGAAGTGCGCGATTGACTCCCAGACAGTGGAATTACTGTAAGTTTTGTCCCAACCCTGCAGAAATTTAACTGGAGTGTGAAAGCTGAATCAGACACTACCTGCTATTACCCTGCACAGATATTTTTTAAGAGAGTGAAATTTTGTTTGGTTTGGATTTTCTTTTAGCTACTTTGTGTATCAGTGTGTGCCATCCATCCTATCAATGAATCTTGAAAGCATTTGAGTTTTGTGAGAGAACTTCCTACTGCTGACCTGTGTTCCTCGTATGAGCTCTGATTGTTTCAAGTCTTCATCAACTAGAAAATCCTTTTCAATGGGCAAGACAAGCATACATTTTTGATAACAGTATTCCAGCAAATGAAATGATACAGTTCATGTTTTCCAAGGGAGCATTTATATATGGTACAAGGTGTTAAATTAGCTTCTGAAAAGTCTTACGTTTAACCAAATGGAATGCCAAGTGGTGAGTTTGCTTTAGGTTTCACTAAAAAACATATGTCATCCTTGTGAAGTGAAATTTGATCTAAGAAAACGCACGTTACAGTGGGTTGCTAGACTGTCTCCTGAAGCTAGAAACTGTTAGTTAAAATAAAAGCTGAAATCTTGTGTATAGACAATGTGTGAAAAGACTGTTTTTCTTAAGTTCGCAATGTCAACATTGAATGCCTAATTGTTTCTTAGATCATCAAGAAGAAAGGTAGACTCAGTTTTCTAAGGAAACAATTTTAATTCATTTGTGAACATTTCTCTGAAAATTCAAAGGCTTAGCAGAAAATAACCTTTGCATACTTGAGTGTACGTTACTTTTTTTTTTTCCAGGAACAGTGTGATGTGTGCTAATTGGGAATTCAGAATAGAGCTCATCTTTAATAAAAGTCATGGCTAAATGTTAAAACCATTATGCGATGTTCTGAACTGTTACTAAGAATGGTATAGCATGTACTGAAATGTGGAAGGAAGTGAGGTTAGATTATAAGAGCCTCATCTTTGCATTATAAAAGGAAAAAAAAGGCAAATTAAGGAACTTTTGCCTTCCTCGTGTCCAAGAAAAGAGTGTGAAGTGCTACAATGTGGCTGTTGTTGTTTTTAAAAAAATATAGTGGTGATCAGTATTATAAGAACAGCAATGATTAATACTTCTTAAATTGTAACAGAGGCCAAATCACAGAATAATAAAGTATTTCTTGTAGCACTGCGGGTAACAACTCCAGCTGAGTTGCTGTTTTTTTGTAACTCCCTTTGGTATGGCAGGTGCCTGGACAGAGTTCTAAACAGAATAAGCGTTACAATTCTTGCAGTGAGATGTAGTATCTTTCCCAGGGTGAAAACACTTTCTGCAAAGTATATGTGAGTTTTAGAGGGTTTAGAGATGATTTTCAGGAGGTAGCCACTGTTACTGCAGGTAACATACCCTTGAATGAATATTGAGAAGCATCAGCAAAAAAAAAATAAATGTCTTCCACGTTTACTTTGTTTAATGTGTCTTCCCTTTTAATAAATTTTTTTTTTTTTTTTTTGCATGGCTGTGTGGGGCGTTTTGGTAATGTGTTAGCAAGGAACGTGGTACAAGTGTACCACTGCATTCCCGGGGTTCATCGTGGGGCTCCTGCTCAGTCTGCTGTACGTGGCTTGGGGAGTTTACACTGGCTAAAGTGTGCTCTGATCCTGGGGTTCTAACATCTCCGCGACGGATACGGCTCAGCTTTCTGAAGGCAGAGAGCTTAGAAACATGCTGGGGGACCTTATGTTGATGCGACCTAAATATTGATTGAGAGTCTAATGTCTTAATTTCTAGCACTGTCAGGGAGCTTCTAGTTTATCTCTCTCTGGAGCTGTGTGCAACAAAAGCCACTCAAAAGTAGTACATGGTAAATGGAAGTGGTCAAAGGATTTGCCTCGAAATGATTCTGAAGCAAGCTGCTGATACAGGCACAGCCGTCTTACTTTAAGGGGCTTGATTTCTGCTTTAGGTAAAGGTATACGTAAGTGCTGTATTTAATTTTTTGTCATTATAGGGAGGAAGTTATACAAATAATGTAGTTTCTCAAATTGGTGTTTCTATTTTCCAATTGATGTAAATAAGAAACGAAAAATTCAGGGGCAGGATCTATGAATGTGTTCTACTCTAGGTTGCTTCACTTTTCCTCTACTGCTGTCTTATGTGCTAGCTTGATAAAATTACCAGTTTTACAGCAGGTGGCTTGCCAGAGGTGCTCTGCTGTCCTAGGATGCATTCTCTCAACAGTCCAGAACACTTGTCTGAGAGCAAATTTTGACTGGCACCCCAATGCACAAGGGTTACAAATGTTCTACATTTCAAACTTCAACATTATTTAATAATGCAGTACTCTGAAATAAGAGATGCAAATTGCTTTTGGACAGAAGTGCACAATCATGAAATGTATTGCTGTTGTCAAAGTTCAAGAAGATTATACAAAAAAGGTTTGAAAACAAACCAGAAAATTTGCATAGACCTTTGTAAATGAAACAAAATTCATCAACAGTATACTCTGAAGACGTATCAAAACTCACCCAGAGTGTAATATATCTAAAGCTAATTATTTCCTGAAAGTTATGTTTGAGACTATAGTAATGCTTATGAATATGGAAGGCGTTCAAGTTGGAAGAAATAGGATGCCTTTTGCAGAAACACAAAATCCTGCTGA